CACATTACAGTGTACAACGAAGTATCCACGGGAATTTGATTATCGTCGTAGGACCTATGGCCTTCGATGCAATACTCTGTCAGCTTCTTGGAACACCTCGTACAAAAACGAAAAAGCGGAAACCTATTCCACAACTCGCTTCTATCATACTAGAAAAGGTGGGTATACAGTACAAAAAAGAGCTGTAAGAGCTGCTTCCACATTTGCTATTCCCGAATGAACTAGCGAAGGTGAAAGCAGTGTAATCCTGCAACGCGATTGCCAAAATTCACTGTTTAAGGGCCCTAAATCGTGGAATTTGAACAAGAAACAGGTTCTGCCAATAAGCAGTAACTACTACGCAGCAAAAGCATTCGATCTATCCTCTTATATTACAAAATAGTCTTCGAAATAGCCTGCAGTTATTCGACAAGTAATGAATCGTAACTTAAATCAGATTAAATGCATTCATTGACAGCATTCCGTTGTGCAGCTCATTTCGCTTTGCTTCGGCATAGTACTCAATAAAGAATTTCGTTTAAACTACGTTGTTTTCCAGTCCGATGGCTGCCTACTTGTGTACAAATAAACAAATAAACAAACAAACAACGAATATGCCGCACGAGCTGAGTTAAACATATCTTCGACAATAGTTGCTAACCATTCGACCACCCCTCCCAACCCAGAAACAGGTTTCAGTACGGACCTACCCCTTTCATGACGACCAATTGCGATGGGAATGCAAAATTCCCCTCCTACCTCGTCAAGTCGAGAAGTCGAGAATCCGCTTGGTACTGGGGGGAAACTGTCGGAAACTTCCCGAAGTGCATATACAATACATGGTCTGTGGGTCTTGTCCTCTCTACAATAACCGCACTTCCACTTCTTCCTGACCGATTAGTTACGAGCTAAGTTGGATGGGGAAAAAAAGTCTGAAGGGTTTCAAGTGTTTCCATAACAAAGCAAAATAACTTGAGATGAAAATTTAAAATCACTTCATGGGCGCGATCAAACTAATTAAAGATGTAATAATGTAGCGTCCTCTCATAAGCGTAGTCCGTAGATGTACTTTCTTATGGAATAACACTGACCAAAGACAAACTCTACAACCCCTTCGATTTCGGTCCATGGTTACTAAGCTTGTGCGAAAATAGAAAAAGCTGACGCTGACACATGACATTCGCAAATCATGGCAATGGGACCAAACGGTCTTGAGTGGAAATGGTAGACGTATTTCAAGAACAAACTGAACTATTTCAAGTAATACATATACCTTCTGCATCATAAGCTTACAAAAATATTACCGTCCTCTCCTTCCCTTCACATTCGGGCCCCGTTGTACGCTGAGAAACAGCAAAAGTGAACGAAAAAACAAAAGGATGGAGAGGGAGTCATTTTAGGCTCATTCTAGAGTGGCTGGAAAGTGAGTGTATGTGCATATAAACTACAGTCATAACCGGGAGGTCCTCCCGATGCAAAGTTTCGCGACCTTACGTGAAAGAACTACTGGAAGATCTTGATACCAATTTCACAGTACTGTATCTAGTAAAATATCTAACTTTTTTTTGTTTTCCCCGGTCCGATTTGAACTTCGTACATCTTCCATGGGCCTACGCATTTTGCAGAGAAATGGACTTTTTTTTCAGCACCCAAAGCCTCTGACAAATATAATATGAGTCATGGCACATTGCATGCAAAGATAACGTAAACACACCTTTCCCCTCTTAGATTCACAAGATGCAATTCACAAAATGGCGATCTCGTTCAGTCGCACCATGTTCCGCATAGTGAAAATAGATAAGACTAGCTCGAAAAAATTTACAACAAAATGGTCAAGTTGGTTGAATACTAAGTCCTCTTATTTTAACGTGACAGCATGTACGGAGACTTTATTAAAAGTCGCTAATAGATTCTGAAAACCAATTCTCGGAACAGCCACTGACCGTACCGATCCCTACCGACCGGATCCCATGAAATCGATACGGTCACTCACCCAAGTCGTCTTTGTTTTAACCACTCAATACGGAGGGTACATATGGACTTTACATGACAACCA